TGTATGCATGAATGTAATATATCAAAGTCAATTTATGCGAGTGTGTGATGCGATTTATGTCAATATGGCGTATGCTAAGCAGATTGATGCTTCTAAAATTGTTGTTGCCGAAAGACTTTTATATATGATTTCTTTAGTGCTTGGGGAATCGTGGCCGTTATATGGCAGTGAAATCCTACAAATCAAAGGGCTATTGATGTATGAAAAGCAATTTCTATAAAGTAAAAATGTGTTCCTATGAATGCAGATAAACCTTGAAATTTGGCAAACCAGCAAAGTATTTTTCATGATTAGTAGGTAATTTTTCTGATAATCATTATAATTTCTAATCTAAATTATTTCAGATTTACATTTAAACGAAACAAGTAAGCATGACACATGAACCAATTTTAACATTCGTGTAATTTTATGATTAAAGGCATGTTGATTACATTCTGTTTGTATTGGCAAATACAATGCTACTAGTGAGTGCTATATAGCACACCTTGCATTTACCTACAGAAGGTAATAGTCTAGTGAAATGCCTAATAAACATTAATGGCATTAAGCTGTCCTTAATTGCAAATTTTCACTCTGATAATTTTTGTATAATCTTTGGCAGAAAAGAATTTTGAGATTTTTCCTCAAAAGGTGAATTTGCTGGCACTGTATGTGGAGATGAGTAAAGTGTTACAATAAACTTGCATTATTTAAAGTCTGAGCTTTTCTACATCTATGAACTGTCCCTTGTAGTACCAAATTTCTAACTTAACTCATTACATAGAGGTTTGATTGGGGATCTCTAGGGGGATCTATACCTGACAACTTGGTAGAAATTTTTAAAGACATTATATTTTTTTGTATAGCATTATTGTAAAATAAATTTTACGTTCCTAGACATGCTAATGAGCCATATATTTGGCATGATAATGAGCCTAAATATTTGGCAAAACATTTAAGTATTGTTCACTTCACTTTTTTAAAAAAAACGTAAGCAAAATGTGTTGTTTTTACGCAAAAACATTGCCCACAAAATACATTTTGTATTGCTCTAAAACGCTGAAAATGGCATTTCCAAGGCTCTGAAATTCAAAATTTCTCAGAGGAGAATGCCTCGGACCCCCCCCAGGTGCGGAGCGCCTCCGGATCCGACGTTTAATGAATGATGTTTGAACAATCCTAGATCCGCCCCTTGCTGACTATAACACGTTTTCTAAACCAAGAAAAAAAATGATAGTCGTCCTGAAAATGCTTAGCAAAATGTATTTTCTTTATGTGTTCCTAAATTTGACCCTGCTTTGCAATCCTTGTATTTTCCAGGAAAATTAAAAAGGAAACGTTATGGCAACGTTATTGTTCGACATGCAAAGGAAATGATCGCAAAATCAAATTTTTTCAGGATAGTAAAGTGATATTAGAGACCAGTGATGATTACTGGAAACGTCCAAATAAAAGGAGGTGGTTGTTTAAGTCTCGGCCACAATTTTCAAGAATTTGTTGCTGCTTTAAATATCTGGAAACGTACTTTATCAATAGAGGTTGTATTTATTTTTATCATTTCATTATTTAAAAAACCCAAAAGTAAATGTCTTCTTAATGCACACACATATTTCCAACCTTTAAAGTTATATCATTATTTTACATAAATTTTTGACACATTTATTGTCTTCTTTAAAATGGATTTTATGTTTTTAAACATGTTTAACTTTTTAAAGAATTTTTTCTCTGACAAGATTTTGCATTTTGGTTACATTGCCAACATTTGTACTGTTTTATAGGTTAGTATTGAGTTGATATTACGAAATTTATTTGACGATTTATACCTACAAGTTGTGTACCTTAATGTCAGTGATGGCAATTAAAAATATTTTCAATGTACCGCAGAGTCAAAAGAGTCAACAAAGCAATCGTATATTACCTTTTGTTTACTATACACAGAAAATGGCAAGAATCACGAGTTAAATTCTATAAAGACATTTTAAAGCTCAAAAATCCAATTTTTGGCCATATTGTTGATAGTATTAATCTTTAATACTATCACATGTAAACATTGCAATATGGCCACTGGCGATAGCGAGTTTACTGCAGTCCTTGTCACGTTTCTGAGTCAAGAAGTACTACTGAAGGCCCCAGTTTTTTTGAGAACTTTAGCTCGGGTCTTCAGGAGACTTCTACTTAGAAAGTCACGATAATTCCCTAGACGACGTGTTGTCAACGAAACGAAAAGGGGGTGCTGGTGGATTTACATGCTGTGTACCTGGTTGCTTTTCAAACAACAACAAAAAAACCGTGAACATTTATTTGAAGGAAATTCAAGCCTCTGAGGACGCTTGCATTCAATCCTCTGGGTAAGAGTTCTTAAATGAACTTGAATGTTTTTGAACGTGAAGTATGTGAAAGTTGCAAAAAAGCTTCACAATTGTTTTTAACAGTGACCATATTTCATTTTATTTGTCAACCCTGAACACAAAGACCAGAATTCGACAAACACTTTAGTACGGTAAGGTGGCCCAAAGGTGCAATAAACAAACGCAAATTCAAATACACAAACACAAATTCAAATACACAAACACAAATTCAAATACACAAACACAAATTTAAATACACAAACACAAATTCAAATACACATACGCAAATTCAAATACACAAACACAATTTCAAATACACAAACACAAATTCAAATACACAAACACAAATATAAATACACAGATGCCAGACCAATACACAAACGCAAATTCAAATACACAAACGCAAATTCAAATACACGAACACAAATTCAAATACACAAACGCAAATTCAAATACACGAACACAAATTGAATAGCCAAGGGTGCAAAATTCATTTCCGGTGAATTTGCTACCTAAATTTTTCCTGAACTTACAAAATAAGTTAATAACCCATCCTATGCCAATTTAGATTATTGTTATATTTTAATTTCGAGATAGAAATCTATGTTTCATACACTGATGTAAAATAAATACGGAGCATCCGAGAGGTATTTATCGTATCTAGCGTTCGTGCATATGCTCTTAATATCTTTCCCGGCATCTTGAACAAGTGTGGAAGTTCACTAAATACAAGGGGTAATTTTTGTGCTCACTGTGGGGTAGATCTTTGAAAGCCTGATAAATCAAACACTTTGCTTAACATAGATCCATCAAAATCAGCAGGGCTTTCTACTTATTATCGTGCCACCAAATCTTTTACTTTTATAGAGTTTTTTGTCAGATGTTTCATTTGGCACTGTTGAGAAAAGGAAGCGTCACGATCGTTTTGTCTTCACGAAAAAGGGGAAGAAGGATGAGACTGTCAAGGTTTATGGCTGTCGTTGGAGCCAACACAATAACATTTTTGTGGCATGCTTTTAAAGTCAGGCTCAGGTTTTCTTCTATCAACACTGCTTAGTGCTCACCAACCCCATATGAAATGGAAAAGGATAGAATAGTTTTGCCATTAAAATGTGCAATTATTATTTCATTCTTCATCACACATTTTGTCATGCCAGGTCATGAACACCTAGTAAATGGGTATTTTCTCCACCAAAGATAAACATTGGAATAATTGAGCTCGATTGGGATCATTTGAAAATCAAGCAACGCTTACGTCTTCTTATTGATGTAAAAAAATCTGGTTCTCATGTTGTTGTAAAAACTTCTGGTGCGGAAAATCAATTAGCTCACAATAAACAACTCCGTGATGAAAATTCTGAATGAGTTTTGTTGTACTCAGATATGGAGTTAGTTTTATATTTACCAGGCACAATCGAACCATTTTCTGTAGAAAAGTACAAGAAGTCCCTTGGCAGGCCCTACAGTCGTGTCAATTTATATGTTCGCAAGACTTTAGATTATGAAAGTGAGGAGGTTTTTTATTAATTATTAAAAAACACTTTATTAAAGTATAGGTAACTTTTTACTCTTAAGTAATGCCTAATTACGAGCATTTAATAATTAATGTAATTCTGTAAGGTGAAGTATATAATAGTCATTGCAGTATTTCGTTAGTTTAATGAAACTATCAAGATACAAGTAAAATTAAACACTTTCTTTATGAGGAGCTAATATTAAATATTACTCATCAATACTGTGAAAGGCAACACTTATTTAGATGTTATAATTGAAAATTCTAATATGAAGTGCATAAGTGAAATAACAAAAGTATTATATGCAACAATTTTTATTTCAATAAAATGCATATTTGACAAAAATACAAATGTTTGTTTCGTAGTTTACTAATAATTAGTTAATGATGCCGTGGAAGAGCAATTACATTTGGAAGAAATAGAATGACAAAGACTCAAAATGAATCATTGTGCACAGGGCCGCAGCTTGGAGAAAAATCCCATCCCACAACTTTGCATGCACTAGAGAACCTCCAAAATTGTTGATAAATTCTGCGATTTCGTCAGAGAAGAAGAAAATTTATTGGTGGTATGATAAAAATAATTGCCTCAGACTGCAGCGGTAAAAAGATTTTTTGATACAACCACTGTGTGCTATAGCTAAGATTTAATATTTTCCTGCTGCAATTATTTTAATAGGTCAACAGCAAAGTGCCGTATGTTGCAATATTGCAAGCAAGTTGACTTTCACATTGAAAGTTTTTTATTTTTAGTTATCTAGAGCATTTGTACTTGAATACTTGTATTATTTTGCTAACTGTATTCTAAATCAAATAAATTATGCTTTATTTTGTTTTTTCTTCTTCCAAACAAATTCAAGAATAGTTTAAAGCAATGTAAAATTTGAGCATAGTCGAAGCATAATTTTGGAGAGAAAGTAGCAATGCTAGAAGCATAATATGCCATTTTAATGAGAATAACCTGGAATGCCTAATTCTTCATCAACAAAAACTTTTCGATTAGCATGTGAAATAAGCAATGAAAGAGGTAAGCAATTAAAAGAAGTTTAATTCATTGATGGCAGTTGCTATTGGAAGAACAGTTTTTTTCGCAGATCAAGACCTCAAACGGAGGGATTTCTGTTATATTGTATGAGTTCACAAAATTATTTAACAACAAGTTTCGATAACATTCGTGTCTACTATTGTTTTTAATTTGTATTGCTCCATTCTGCAATGCCCTTTACATTCAGTTTCAGTAGTGTAGTAGGGTATTAAGAGTTTATATTTTACAAGGTCACTTTAAAAGATAAGTTAAACGTCTTAGTGCTTCGTGCAAACCTTTCCCAGAAAATTTTCGTTTTTTCTATTTCTCATTCAAATGAAAAAGAAAGTGAGCATTGGGTTTTTTCATGAAGATACGATATTGAAATTGAGAATTATGATAAATTTCTGGAATTGCATAACGTTCTAAGTTCTAAATTATACAAAAATAGAGTTCATATGGAGTACCATAATTACTACAGACCAGTACATATATAATACCATATTAAAGCTCGTATGAACTACCATATCGTTTATTTGAAAATTAAAAAGATAAGATTTTTATAGTCTGCTTATAGTTTAGGGGCTTAATATTGTCTTGCCAGCTTAATTTTCTTCCCATTTCGTGATCAAATCAAAAACATCCTTCCTTTTGAGGTGCTGTAAGACAATTGTTTTAAACGCACCAACACTATTGTCTTCACTGCGAGCACACCACTTTCCTATTGCCAGTTTGGCGAGACCTTGTCCTCCTGTACTTCTACACTCCATTTTCATCAACTCGACTTCTTTAAGAGAGAAACAGTCTAAAGCGGCAAACAAATCCCCTTCACTCCTGCCACTTATGTCCAGACGATCATAAATTTCTTTTAAAACTTTATAGTCAATTTCATCAACTGACCATTGGATTTTAGGAAGAGATTTTTTATTTGTCACTCCTGCGCTTGGATCAGTTTCTTTTGATACAATGTTTTTAGTTGCTTTTTCATCACGCACGCTGCTCATTCCTTTAAAAACAGATCCGTTAAAAAGACCATGTTTCCTTAAATTGGTAAATTGATAGTATTGTTTGTTTCTTCAGTAGAGTTTATTTTTTGTAAAGAAATTTTAATCGAAATGAAAACTGTTGTCTAGCGTCTTCAACAATTAAATACAGGCTTGACCTTTGAAAATATTTTGACATGCTATAGCCGGCAAATTTACTCCTGCCAGCGTTTGTTTACTTTATAAATATTTTTTAGCTTTTTCAGAATAATCTTAAAAAAAGGTTAAATAAAATCACCTTTTTCTATTTCCTCTTTTGTATCTGCATCCGGATTACCAACACATTGCGGAGGACTGATCCTGAAACATGAAAAGTGTTAGCCAAAGTTGAATCTGCATGCAGCCCAGACACACGAATTGACAGTAAAAAAAGGCAAGAACAAAATTCAGAAATGTAGTTCAAGTTCTTTTGCAGTTCATCAAGTTTTCAGACTTCAGAGGACCCAAGAGCCAAAAAAGGTTTAATTTTTCAGTCGAACTGATCTTTACAAAAATATCAATATTTATAATATGCATGAAAATTGTTTTAATTCTGATTGGTTAAGAGCAGTGCAATTTATCGAAAATTCCGGTGCAAAAAAAAAGGGAAGCATGCATGTGTCATCGCATTTCTGGCACTCTTTGTTTCTAAATTTTCAGGGAGAGAATGCCTTCGGACACCCATACGGGTGAATGCGTTCGGCGTTGGTAGGACCCGCCGTTTTTTAACTAACGTTTGGAAAATCCTGGATCCACCCTTGGGCAAGATGTTTCTGGATAAAAATACGAACACTGCGCGTGTACAAGCTATGGTGTTGTGAAAAGTAATATCCGATGGAATTGAAATATACGAGGCGAGCGATTAATTTTTAATAACCTGCCGCCTGAAATATGCGCTAAAGTTAAAAATCGTAACATGCATATTATTTATAAGTAATAGCCCAGCTTTTCGTACAATTTTGAAATAACAAGCACTCGTGCATGCTCTTCCAAATTGCACAGTCAAAATCATGCTATTACCAATACAAAAAAGCAAAGTTCATAATTGCGCTTCTTAACTGCGAAAATTGTAATTATATAATTTCATTTTTTTTTAAACATTTGAGGGCCATACTTATAAAGTTGTTTTTTTTCTCATCTTTAGCGCAAGAACTGAGCTTATGGTTTTGTTAAATCCGTTTTATAAGGGAGAAGAAAAATTTAGTCCTGTCTTCATTATCTACATTACATGTGATGTTGCAGAATACCATTTAGAGCAATGACAGAAAAATTAAGATGTTTTGCATTAAATATTCTACCTACATTGCTAAACTTTAACCTTTGGACTAAGCTGCTGTATTGCCATTAATTTCTTTTCAAGCCAAACTTGTTACAGATCATTTTTGCAAAACAAACTTTACTAAATCAAGTCTCTGGATTGATGCATTCGCAGAAGTTCCCAACCATGCTTCCGGCACCCCTGTTTTTTAAGGTTTACATAATCGCATTTTTCACCTGTTACTCGTCATGTTATTGGCGCACTCTCCATTAAACCGGTTATCAGACGTGTGGGTTGCTGTATTAGACATTTTGAGGAATGATTTTTAAGAACTATAAAATAAAAAGTAATCATTGAAATTATGTTTAAATCAGCAATTACTAGTGATTTGCCACGAACGTCTCATAATGCGAGCAATCATGATGAGAAGAGAACATTGCGGAAGGGGAGTGTGGTGAGGCATGAAAACGTGAATTTTTCTATTGCAATACTTGTTATGAAAGAATAAAATCAACTATTAGTTTACTGTGTCTTGCTTCCTTATTCAAAAACTAAGCTTTAACTCATTATAACTTAACAAGTCTTTAAACCTATCTACAACATTAACATTCGCGAGCAAGAATATAGAAAGCTAAAAGAATATAAGGAGCTAGAAACTGGAAAAGTGCCATCACGATAAATGATGAGGAAAGGAAGATTTATATTAGCTATTCAAAAAATCATGATTTTGACGCCCACACGATAAAGAAAACTGGCTCAACATATTATGTGTTTCCTCTTTGTATTAAGACCCATTTGGAATGCTATTTAGTGGTTTTAAGTACATTGAAACAGATACTCTTTGTCTAGTTGAATAGCTCTAAGCAGTATTACCTTTCGTAGCTACAAATATCTCTATTGCTTATTATACTTATCTCACGGTTCAATTGATCCGTCGTTAGTCTATTTATGACGCCATAATGACTACATACCATAAGTTTGAGCACTTTCCTTGTTGTTGCGATTGCTGAGTCTTGATCATGAAGCTTGATAAAACTATTTTGAAAAATAGGCCGACACGCATAAAGTTAAATCTTTCCTTGTGGTCGAAACTTCTGAAATTAACTACAAAGCTTGCTCAAAATCCATTTAAAAAATATGCAGTCTAAGGAAAGGGTTAAAATGATTAAGCCGTAAGTTTTGCTTTATTTTGTTAGCCCGGTAATTAAAATCTTTATCATGTATTGTGACATTCCTTTGCGGACAACATTCCTTTGCTGAAAACATTCCAATCATCAAGATGAGTCAATTACGAACATCAAAAAATACATCAATGTCATATTAACGTGTTTTATCGACCAATTGAACTATCATTATAGTCAAGCGCGTTCTATCACTAATTTTATTATTAAGAGACAATTTTAAATGTAAATATTCTTACCTTAAATGTGCTTCAATGTAGCCAGCCTGCGAGTGTAGCTATATATTATATATATGCAAATTTCTCTCTGTTCACTCTTTAAGAAAACAAAACTAGGCTAGATTTCTAAAGAACTGAATAATGTTTAATTTATAATTTTTTATATAGACAGTACGGCGAACCTCGGCTACGCCAATTGCTTCTATAATCCAGGTTTGTATAAATATATCTAACTAACGAGATAACTAAAAAGTTTTCCCGGTAACCGAGATCTCGCTTGTCAACAAGGGATTATATTTTACCACATATGAACGCTTTTTCCCGTCTAAAGGGACAATGTCCTAACGTAACACCTCTTCAGTTTGAAGTAAATTCTGGCAGTTTCAGACAACTCGAGGACCATCATGATGAAAGCTTTACCTTGCCAAAATCAAGACCTAACACACCTGGAACTGATTCTGAGGGAGCCATCGATTTGTCTGACATTAACGAATGCTCTTCTGTTGATCTTGATGAGCCCAACAGTGAATCCAGTACAGCTGATGGTGGAAATACAGAGAGAAGACCAAAGCAAAAAAGGCACGTTGAAAGACTTGTTGATAACAAGCGTAAACATCTACAGAGGAATTTGTCAGCTGTACAGAGAGACAAAATCTTGATTGATGAAGCTAAGGACGATGCTCAGTTTAGAAAAGAGCTGACACAAGTTCTTCGAGAATCAACTGAATGTTTTTCTAATAGTATTAAAAGAGCTTAGTTTGGCAATGACAGGAATTGGGACAGAAATTTCCCAGTCAACTCAAATGTTGACAAATGCTCTACTCCACAAACAGCAGCAGCAACCACCATTCATTTTCCCACAATACTTTCACCAAGGCCTCCAATTTCAAAGTAGTCCTCATCTCTCTTACGGAACCTTCTCACACATGACAAGTGACATTACATATTCTGATGCAACAAACATGAGTGGAAAATAATTTTCCAAATAATGGTCATGTATTGAACATGTGCGGTAAAATAATATTTATAGAAATTTGTTATTGTTGCAACCTCTGTTGTTTGATATTTTTTTGTATTGGTTTTTTTGGTAAATTACAAGTATTTCATATATTTAAATACCTGTTTATCTTCTCTAAGGGTTTATCTTCATAATTGGAAAAGGTCTTTAATTAAGATATTCTTTTATCATTTTCACAATGCTTCTTCTAACAATTTTCCTTCTCCTTCATTAGATGAATAGATAGTGTCAGGATTGTTTTGGAATTGTTCTTCATTTTGTTTAATTGAATCAATTTGCTCTTTGAGTTTGTGTTCATCAACAGTTACCTTGCTTTGCTCACATATGTTGTGCAGAATGAAGCAAGTAAAAATCACTGTAGGTACAGCCTCAAGTTTCAAATCAACAATTTTGTTAAGAAAGTCCATCTTTCAAACAAAGCTTTTAAACGTCCAAAGCCACATTCTATTTTATTCCTAGCAGCCCTTAAAATGTTGTTAAAAATCATTTCTTCATTGCATTTACACGATTCATATTCCTTAATACAATACGTCATTAAAGGGTAAGCTAGATCACCAATAAGGTAAGTAGACACCTTGGTGCTTCCACAAGATAATGTTTGCCATGAGATGGGCAATTCAGCATCCCGCAGCTTTTGTTGGATCTTGGAATTTGCAAAAAGCTTTGCACCGTGCACGCTTCCAGTCCACATGCACTCTACATCAAGAAAGTACCCTCTAGCATCACAAACTGCTTTATAGCAAAAATATTCCTGTGAATTCTCAATCGGTCTTTTTATTTTGGCGTGAGTCCCATCTATACAGCCGAATGCTTGAGGCATTCCAAACTTTGCCTCAAATTCACCAACCTTTTCCATCATTTAGATTTGTTTTTTGGTAAGAAAACATACTTGGGCCCTAGGATGCTACAAATTACGTGACAGACCTGATATATGACGAGCGATGCTGTATTTGTTGCAACGCCAAAACTGTTCGCAGTCATGCTTAATGACCCAGTATCCTTTAGGTAGTACAACGTCATAGCCAGTATTTTTTCTGCATCCAAGGCTCGTTAGTTTGGAGAAGTCGTGCAAGGTTTTAAATGAGCTTCAACATCACTCAGTACTTTGTAAAATAATCCCTTGTCCATTCTGAAATTATTTTTTTCAGTGCTCCTCTGGGGAAATTCCTGAAAGAATATTTGTCCACTACGAATCTGTTCGCCCAGGTTGAAACCATGTACTTCTTGGTCTGTTTTGGAGCTTTCGAAGTCGCTTCTGCAAGGGTTTAGTTTTAATCTTGCTTCTTTGGCTGGCCATGACACCAATGGCAAGTGTCAACGCTCTTCATAATTAAATCTTTTCCTAGAGAGTAAATGGCAAAAAATGTGGAAGAGCACCAGGAAAACCGATTCGTTATTGCAAGGATTTGGAGAAATGCTGTCGTTGGTACGATGAAAGTTTTACTTTGATAGATTTCTATTGTTGTCAATCACAAACTCCGGTTTGTTGCTATAACGGTAGATGCTGTCCCACGGTGAAAGATGCATTTATCCAGTATAGTGTCAATCTACATTCAACATGACCAACAACTTCACGGATAAAAAAACCACACTTCATGTTTTGTCTTATATTGTCACATTTGTTTGCATCTATTTGCACAAATGACATCATGAGTATCATATGGGAAATATTCAACTGATCTATTAAATGGTGGTAATTTAGTAATATAAAATGGAAAATCAAGGGAGTTTTGTTTTTCCAATACACTTGTCAAACGTACAATCGAAAGAGCGTTTCAAGACTATGTAATCATTTCGAATGATTTGTTTTCTTTCTCTGAAAAATTTTGATTGTCGCATATTATAAAGTTCTCTAATCATTCTGTCTTATCTTTTACTGCTGAAAGAAGCGTTCCAATGACTTATATATATCAATAACCTCAGGCAAACCCTCATTTGAAGACATTTTATGCGATGAAATAGGTTCTTGGCTACTTTTACAGCTCGTGCCCCTCCCCACTAAAATTCAAAGTTTATAGGTAACATCGTAAAAATGTAGCTATATATTTGCAGCTTTCGTGTAAACAGACTGATACATCATGCAAATGTTACGTTACCTTTGAGATTATGTTTTGTTTTAACTAAAGATTAAGTTTAACACTGGTTTGAGTGCAATTGATGCAGATCGTGCATTATCCTTGTTTGTGCAAATTCACATTCCTTTCATCGCTGCATCAAATCTCACTTCATCCAAAATTTCCTCTCCCACTTTCATGAACGGAGTTGATGCTCTTTATAACTCAAACATAATGCTATTATGTAGCTATTAAGCTTATTTAGAATAAAGGTTTCGGCTAAAAGTATCGATAAGATTTTTAAAATCAAATGCATGTAAAATTGAATAATTGATGCTCATTTAATATTCAATGCAAGTTGAGCACAACACTACTGACCCTTATAAAACGAGACAATCTACGGTCTTGGAGTTTAAATAACACTAGTTCTAATTCACTAATAATCAACAGAGTATTACTTTTATAAATTTAATGCCAATAAATGAAGATTTAACAGAACACCACACCAATTAACAGTCAACTCTTAAACATAAATTAAAGTTCTTTTAATAAATAAAGGTTTACCAGACTACCTCACTATTAGGCACTTTAGTAAGAAGATTTTACCAATTTTATATGATTTAAATGACTTGAACCATTTAATACAAACCAGCAAAGAGTTCAGTGGATTCTCATTCTCATAAGGCGAGTGTTTTGATTGGTTGTATTTTCCCTCAAATGCGGATGCATGGAGTTTGGTGGAACTGGACAAACTGGTTTACCGTACTATAATCATGTGCTGTAGTCTCCCTCTCTCAATCAGCACAAAGCAGTCGACATTTGGATGCAAATGAATATTTATCTTAAATTATTAAGCGAAAAAACTACGAAAGATAATAAAAATGACAAAGCTCCACAGAATCATTCGCTTTAGATGAAAACTGCCGTCATAACAGAGCAGAAATTAACGATTATTTAAAACTTAAGTCTACAAGATTTGAGGGTACGTTTTAAATATGTTCAAAGTGGATTTGAAACCATGCATGGATTCTGTCATACTCTGCGTAAGAAATTCTCTTGCATTATATACTTATTATTTCCCTCGCAACTTTCTCATTGGGCTTCAACAGTAAAAAAATCCTGTTAGTGCAGTCATTATCTGCCGCAGCTTAAACATTCAGCAACTGAAATAATATTTTAAGAAGCAACGGCAAAGTCCTCTGATGGACTACTTTCTTTGGGTTAGAATAAAACACGGAATAGATGATAAATTGAGGAAGTGAGCATAAAACGCAGAATTGGGAATAAAACGCGGAATTTGGGATAACCCAGCTGGCACACGACGTACTTACGACGTCTGTTAAAGGTTGTGAGAACGTCAGATATGACCTAACGTTGTCACGACGTTCACACCACTTATAATAATCATTTTGACGTTGTATTGACGTTGATACAACGTTGGTCAGGGACGTAGAAATTAGCCGTTCAAACAACTTTCATGGAACGTTGAAGTTCGACGATGTAGCAACGTTGGATTTTCGACTTCTAAAAAACTATTCGCACAACGCTCAGACAGCGTTACATTTTTACTACGCTAGCACGTCAGCCTTTGACGTTTATGCAACGTTTTGACAACTTTGAGTTTGACGTCTTAAATAACGTTGGTACAACGTTGTTAGAACATATATGCAATCATTCCATACGCATGTATAGCAACGGTGAAAAAAACACAGCGGAATGTTTTGTGTGTTACCGTGTTGCCCAGGACAAGAACGGAAATGGATTTGGTATGTGATTTACCTCGGCTAAGATGCAAAGATTTTAAATGATTTCAAACATAGAACGCACACTGGTTGACTGTTTTACTGTAATCATCCAAAATTATCATAATAACGTACATAACTGTTAAACGAAGTATTTTATGTATTAACTCAAACCACTGACCTGCATAGTAATTAGCTGGACGGGAAAGCTCATCAAAGTTATTATAGATTATTAAGCGCAACATCTTGCCAAAAACATGGATGCCGCAATACCTTA